GCCCTTACCTTCTCTGCATGGTGTGCACTGGCCGCAGCTCTCATGCTTGTAGAACTCAATCAGGCGTGCAATGGCTCGGATAATGTCAGTCTGCAGAAACAATGTGTCCACCAATTTAACACAGGTTTGCTAACTTGAACATGCATGATGACTAACTCTGCAGAGTGGACAAACTTACAGATTTGTCCATGACAATTAAGGCAGCTGTGCCGAGCCCAGTCTGAGCTTGAATGAGGCCGTCAAAGTCCATCAGCACTTCTTCACACACTTTCTTGGGGATGAGGGGAGTCGAGGAGCCACCGGGGATTACAGCCAGCAGGTTGTCCCACCCACCACGCACTCCACCTAAAAGACAGATGTTTGTTTCAATTAAGTAAAATAAAAAATAAAAAAACTGCATTCACTTAGACTGTGCTTATGTTAAGCTATCTTAATCTTTTCACTCTATGACCCCCACAGTGCAGGGAAAAATAAACACACAAATGAAGTATTTAGGTTGTTTGGGTTCATGGGTACCTGCATGCCTCTCGATGAGGTCTTTCAGAGGGATAGACATCTCCTCCTCCACAGTGCAGGGCGTGTTAACATGGCCTGAGATGTTGAAGAGCTTTGTGCCAGAATTTCTCTCTCTGCCAAAGCCTAGAAACCAAGAGCCTCCACGGCGACAGATGGTGGGCGCCACGGATACCGTCTCCACATTGGCAACAGTTGTAGGGCAACCAAACACCCCTGTGAGATAGGAGGATACGCAAAGTAGATGAGTCTGAGCAGGGTTTACTCTGCAAGATCCATTATGCGGATACAAACAAAGACCCAATAAGATCAGTATTTTATTTTCCAATCCTCTTTTTCCACTGGAACTCACCCACATCAGCAGGAAATGGGGGTTTCAGTCGGGGCTTCCCTTGCTTTCCCTCCAAGGACTCAATAAGAGCGGTCTCCTCTCCGCAGATATACGCTCCGGCACCACGCATCACAAACACATCGAAGTCATAACCAGAGCCACAGGAATTCTTTCCTATCAGCCCAGCAGCATAGGCCTCATTGATGGCAACCTAATAGGAGAAATTTAACATATAATGCTTCAGCAGGAGGATTTCCACATTGTTGCACAAGCAGACCTATACAAATTATCACAAGCATCGTTGACTTGCAGTATGTTGAAATTAACCCAATAAGGACAACACAGAAATTGCCAAGATGCATCTACAATTTTCACCTGCAGGTTGGATGACTCGTTGTAGAACTCTCCTCTAATGTAGATATAAGCAGCGCGCGCCCCCATGGCCATTCCAGCGACCAGACAACCCTCCACCAGCTTGTGTGGGTCATTCCTCATGATCTCTCTGTCCTTACAGGTGCCAGGCTCACCCTCATCTGCATTCACCACCAGATACTTTGGCCTGAAGAATGACATCAGTGTGTTTAATAATTTCTCCCCCCCAACAGTGCAGACCTTATTGGTTTCTTATTAATGGCTGGTATTGCTAACAAAGAACATACTGAAAATATAATTCTCAGTTACAGCCACACTGCCAGAGATGAAAAAGTCGCTGTTGCAACTCCAGAAAAAAACCGAAATGTGCGTGCATCTGTCTGTTTCCTCACTAACCTGCCATCGCTGGGTTTGTTCATGAAGCTCCATTTCATGCCTGTAGGGAAACCAGCTCCACCTCTCCCACGCAGACCGGAGACCTTGATCTCATTGATGATCCAGTCCACTCCCTTAAGAAGAATCTCCTTAGTTTTGTACCAGTCACCACGCTTCAAAGCCCCGTTCAGCCTGAAGCATAAATACGAACAGGTGAGGACTGTGCTCTGTTTTATAGAAATTATGGATAAAGTGAGAATATCATCAGTCGTGTTACCTCCAGTCATGACGGCCATAAAGGTTTGTGAAAATTCTGTCCTCATCTGCCAGCGGTCCAAATGTTGTTTTCTTTGGAGCACTCTGGAAACATAATGCAAAGACATAGGAAGTGAATGCTATCTAATTCTAAAATTGAATTGGTTTATTTTTGTTGTAAATGAGTATGGGCCAGGTACCTGTGCTGTGCTGTTGAACCGGGTGATGGCAGTCACTCCAGCTTGACTGACAGCAGCGGGGGCTCGGACCACCCCGCTCACCACAGCTCGAGAGAGGGACAGCATCTGAAGGGGGGGGACACAGAGCAACATGTTGTCAAATGTTGACATATGGCAATGCCCAAAATATTTCACCAAACCTACAATGCATTATATTCAGGCAAAGTGCTTGTATGGCTGCTTGTGCTGAGACAGGACTTAACAAGTTTCCTTAAGCAATTCCTTTATAAACTGAAATAAAGAATCTGAGTCAGTGTCCCAGTGGAACAGGGAAACACCACAATGATTATAATATAAAGTCTTAGGTGATGACCAATCAGTTTTATTTGTGTTATTCCCTTAAAGATCACATCTCTTCTGTTTTAACCTGAAAACTAAAGGGGACAGAGGATTTTCAGTCAGGGCCCGAGGATCTAGAACAATCAGCCCAAAGAAAATATATCAGCTGACCCTGCAATTTCCCCAAAGTGCCTTCTTATGGCATACTTCTGCCAGACCAGGTCTAAGATGTGACTTATTTGTGTTATTGCTGCCCTGTGAAGCATCTTTTGGAAAATGTTTCAAGTGCTCTATAAATACAGATTTAGACTGATACAACAAGACAAGTCGATTGCTGGTATTTATTTCAACGACTGTGTCAATGACCAACAGTGCATATCAATTTAAATGAAGTAATAATCTTCTGTTGTTGATGCACCTCTTTTCTTATTGAGCAGCATCAAAACAAAAGCAGTTTGTATCGATTCATTTTATTTAAACACAAAAGTAACTAACTCTGGATTAAATGTCACTTAACTGTGGATTCAATCTCGTATTTAAATCACTTAAATTGCTTTGACCGCGATCTTGTGTAACTGCTTGTGTGTTGTTATGTCAGAGGTGTTGGGTTTGCTAGCAGCGTTAGCTTCGATCAATCAATCCCAAGCCGAGATGTTTCAACAGACCGGTAAATAAAATCAAAGAACATCTGAATTAAGCTGAAATAACCACGGAGCCACATTTGAAGAGCTTCCCTTCGGCTCAGAGAACACACTGACCTCCATGATCAGGTAGCTACTGCTAGCCTAGCTTAGCCTGAGCTAGCACCTCTAACCTTGTAGAGTCAAAACAGAAACAGCTTTTACATGTTTAACAGCGGAGACACGTGGGTTACCTGGTTCGAATTAACAGCTGCGAACATATTCATGTGGATGTGAAATGTGCGATGTAAGTTAGCAAACAATCGGTGCTGCTCACCTCCTCTGCGTCCGGAGTTTATGAAATATCCACAGGAAGTAGAAGCTCGTGGCCCGGACACAGTCCCGGGGACCCCTCCCCCTGCGCGTTTAATAACATTTCATTCAATAACAAAAGTATTTTGTTAATCCACTTTATCTATTTGACAACCGTAAAGGTACAATGTACTTTACAAATTGAACAACATTACCAAACTGCTTGCAAACAACAATTTAATAAAAATATAATAATTCTTATTATTATTATTATTACCACAATTCATAGTTTAAGATCTTAGTTTCTTCTTCTTGTCTTATTTCTTGTGACATGATCGAGACCTGTTGATATGGCAAAACACAGATCATGTACTTAAATCTGTATATTATGTATATGCAGAAATCATTTTTAATATGGTTCAAATGAGTTTTTCCTCTGATCCCATTTAACTACAAGTTTAAACACATTGCACACATTATTGCTTCAGTGATTATGATGCAATAACATAATGTATAGTAGGTTCTCACTCACAGTGGAAGTTTCTTTATGTAATGAATGTATCTTGAAGTAAATTTACCTGCAGAGTAAACTGACTTATTAGTCTGTATTTATGTTATTAGTGTGTTTGTGTGTGTTATAGAAGATCATCAAAAACAACTGCAAAGACAAAATATTTTTTAATTATACTTAAAGGAGAGAAATCTGAATATTTACATGACATTACCTCAGTGGGACAATTCATCAGATATCAGCATTGTGGTTGAAAATGCGCAAATGTATGTTTTTTAGTTTTTACTGTATTTTACTTCAAACATGTTTTCATACATTTCAAACATTTCATAACCAAGGGTTTTTGTTTTCTGCATTTAAATATACCTGAAATATACTTTTTAAATACAAGGTCAAATAATTCAGTAAAAACACACCACATTTAAAAAAAATAGAAGAATGTTCACATTATTTGTTTGGTCTTTATCAACTTCACTGTGTTAGTGGGATTAAACAGCTCTGAACTGTTGGTAATGTTGTTATCTAAGGTTTATTTGTACCCTCTAACAGACTTAAGGTTTACTTCTGAAATTAAAATTAAAAAAACAAGATGTATTTTTATATTTGTATGCAGACATTAAGGTGGTAATTCAAACAACGACGTATAGCTGCGTACAACCTGTCTCTGTACAGTTATTACATCACAGCAGCTTATCCTCAGTGAACAATGGTATTAAACCCTCATTTGATTCAACCTGCAGACCTGGGGGATCATTTAAATCAGAGCTGCATAAAGCTGCAACACATATATTCCAGCTGGTGCTTTTAATATCCTGGATGACTGGTGTGAGGGATAATGAAACTGCAGTCTCCAAGCATACAGGCCGGGAAAATTATTGCTACAATATTTACATTTGGTCAAGAGAACACGCATCACCAACAATGGAAGGGATTACCTTTTCATTCATTCTTTTTTAATTATACAGTGGATCTAACCTGAGAAGTGTTGAAAAATCTAACACAAAACGATCATAGATTACTGAGATTTAAGCAACAACATTAAATTGACTGTAGGTTCAATATTTTCAACCAGGTGCAGCAATAATGTGAGAATAAATAAAATTGAGGGTCTCCATCATCTTATCCAACAGCAATCAGTTCAGTCAAAGTGATAAATATCCTGCACCAGTGTCTCTGTGCTGGTGCAGAGGAAGTCACTCTGCTGGGGGAGGCTGGTAACTGGGTCTGCGTGAGACCCGTCCCAGTCGGTCGACAGCTACGCTCTCGAAGGCCCTCCTCATCAGAGGATGCTCCTCCAGCACCTCGTTGAAACTTTCCACGCTCAGGGAGTAAAGACGACAGTATGTGTCGGCCCTCACGCTGGCTGTGCGTCGTCCCTGGGTGAGAAGGCAGATCTCTGAAATGAGAGTTTGACTGTTAAAGAAATAGATTCATGTGCTGAAAAAAACCATTAGAACTGTCATAAATTCACATTCAATATATTAATTGATTGACAGAAAATTATCGTTTCATATCACTTGCAAGGATCTGCATCATTGCTCTGTTTGTGTGGCATTGCATTAGACATCTTTGGGGGTTTGTGCAAAACAATGAAATTATGATAGAATTTTAAATATTTTACAATATACCATGTAGTCCAAATGATTAATAGGTTAGAGAAGAGGAGAAAAACATCATGGGGGAACCAGAACCACTGATTTGATTGGAATGACATGATTTACCACCAAAGTACGCTCCATCGCTGAGCATAATCTCCTTACTGCCACGCGGGACGACAGTGACGGTGCCGTGCTGGATAAAGTACATTTTCCGACCCAATGTTCCTTCTCTTATAATCAAGTCTGCCGGTTGGAAGACTTCGAAACGCAGCTTGGTCAGGATCACTGTCACAAAATGAGGGTCAGTGTTGGCAAACAGTGGCATGTTGGCTACCAGCCCACGACAGTTATAGCTCACTATCTCCTGCAACGTGGAGAGAAGAGAGAAAACAGTCCGAAATTGTGGGAATGAGTTATATCTTTCTTTAATGCATCAACAAATAAAATATTTTAAGAAAATAATATTCACTTGATGGGCATTTTCTACCATTATATGACAAAAATAACTGTCAAATAAAAGATTAATGAAAATGATTGTTAGTTGCAGAGTTTTTAGAGTTTTAGCATTAACACACAGGTTGATGCACATATCATCAACTCCACTCCTATTGTATGTAATAATGTATTTTACACAATGTATTGATATCTAAATTAAATCTATAATTTCAAATTGAATAAGAGCTGAAACAAATAGCGAATTTATTAATTAGCTGTTCTAATCTACAACATTTTTTTTTAATCATTTTTATAGTTTAAACCATTTACAAACAAACTATATGAAATATTTCATTCCAGCTCCAGAATTTGAATATTTTCTGCTTTTATCTGATTTATATCATCATAAACATTAATATTTTTTTTAAAACAAAGCAAGACATTTGAAAACATCACCTTGGATTAAACACAACATTTAAAATTATTAATTGAAGAAAAAATATTCAGATTAATAGTTAGATCAATCAATGATATAATATAACTTTTTTTTGGCAAGACCTTTGTTTATTTCAATCTTTATTGTCCAGACCTAGATTTGCATCTGTGGGGGCAGGTGTCATTAAAATGTATAATTAAAGAGAAAGCAAGAAACACCAAGTCAAATCAAAGTTTGAATGATTAACACACCTCCTTGAGCGGATCACTGAGTTCTCCGAGGATGCTGTCCTCGTCAAACATCTTGCCTTGGAATCGCTGCTCGTAATAATCATGGATCCTCTGTCTCACGTCTGCTGGCAGTTTATGGAACGACATGTACTGCTCCACTTGTTTATACTATAAAACATTTGTACAAAAGACATTTTTCATTTAATATTCACAAAGATTGAAATTCCACATGATTGTTGTCAGATTAAATCACATTTTCTACCATGTGTTTGCTGAATTAATAATTATGCATTTACTCTATTTGTGTTGTGGCTTTTGCAGTTTTAAGTGGATTACAAACTCATTTGTAATGGGCATTAGCAAACAGTGATCCAAAACAAAGGTGCCGCCATTTGTCTATTCATCCGCTCTGCTTTATCTTGTGAAAATCCCCTGGAAAAGGTCACAGCAAGGCCACAAACTCTATTAGATAATAAACATATTTTCTAGGCATTTGGCACATTTTCCACCAATAAAGTACAAGCGAGCCTGTGATGTAAATGGCTGTGAAGTTAAACCGTAAATCACATTCACATGCTCTTGGGACGTATTGTCCACAAAACAATTGAGGCTGAGGGTCAAAATCTGTTTTGTTAGTTAAATGTTTCCAGTCAGACGTTCACCTTCTCTTGATACTGACGATGTGACGCATCCAAAGACTGAACCAGGGTCGTTGCATGGCCGAGGAACAAGGCGTAGCAGGTGGCCCCCACAACCATGCTGATCATGGTGAGCCACACATCGCTCACGCCCTCCGGAGGGTGGGCGCCGTATCCTATACACAGCATGTGACTCATGGCCATAAACAGGGCGTAGGAGTACTGTATGTGCCATGTAGCATTCTGGGAAATGGATGGGAGAGGAGACATGTCAAAACAATGTTGTATTGAGTAAACATACTTGAGATGATTATAAAATGATGATAGTTAAATTGGATAAAAAATGCTTGACTTATTTAGTGTAGGTTAACATATTAGTAGGTTTTCTCACCACCATATTGTTCTTGGATACCCAGCAGTCTGCAGGAAAGTCCTGCAGCATCGGCACCATGAAGGTCAAGCAGCCATCCCAGTGACACAACAGCAGCATCATGCCAATCAAGTTCACTATACGCACCACTGCACTGGCCAGGTCATACGTCATATGGAAAAGCTGACAGAGGGACATTTTTATAGAGAGAAAAAAACATTCAATCAGAAAGATTTTGAATTTCTCATGTACACTGTAATATTCTCCTTCTTCCTCTCTTTACCTCTTCCCACTGGTGAATGTACCGGATGAGGCGGGACAGTCGCAGAAGACGCAGCAGACTCAGGATCTTGGTGAAGCGCACTATCCGTAGTGCGCGGGCAGTGCGGTAGACATCAGACGAGTCGTGCCGGGACTCAAGGTCAACGATGAGGAAGATATAGTCGACGGGGATGGAGGAGATGAAGTCCACCATGAACCATGTGCGGAGGTAGTGCATGCGGATCTCTTTGGGGTCCAGGATGATGTGGCTGTCCCCTTTCAGGATGCCGGTGCGGAAGTTGAAAACCAAGTCCATGAGGAAGAGAGTGTCAGACAGGACGTTAAAGGTGATCCATGGTGAAGTGTTCTGGTCCTCAAAGAAGGTGATTCCCCAGGGTAAAATCACTAGATTACTCATCATCAGCAGAAGCATCACGATGTCCCAGGAAAACCTAGACAGATAATGATAAAATGATGGAAAGTTGAGGTTGTGCAAACATAAAACTGCAAGCATTTCATTTTTGCTTTCTTGCACTAAACCAAAATCCTTTTCCCACTTAGGATCATGGGTAATATCCACCGTTCAGCTGTGTTTCAGTTCAGAGACTGGGACTTTTCAGTGACAGATTAATCGAAACTTAATTGTTTGGACATGGATCCCAACAAAATGAATCACCAGGTGTGGCTGCAGAGGGCGCTGTTACTGTTACACAGTGTTGCTTTAAGGTGAGTTGAAGTCATCTGATCTGGCGTACAGTGTGCTGTCCAGGGAAAGACCCATTTCAGAGGGACCCTTACTCCCATAACAGCTTCTGTCACAGGAGGAACCCTCTAATTAGAAATACATGATGTGTACCTCACCAGGCTCAATGAACTTTAAGAAGAAGGTGCAGAAATGCAAACGCCACCGTTACCGGAGAGGTCTGACCTGCGATGTGATGAAGCTCAATCGTGTGCTCTGTACATCACTGTCTGCTTCATGTCATACAAGTCCCACTTTCCTGTAAGTCTCCAGTGTCTTGTTATACTCGGGTTGGGTTTCCTTACAGCTTGTTTCCACCATGTGTCAATCACCACGTGTCTCTTCCTCCCAGCCTCTCTTTCATTACCAGGTGCACAGTAACAGAATAGGAACCAGACTATTTCTGATTACAGTCACAGCTCGCCGATCACAACACGAATCCAGTGAGAAAACGACCTTCCTCATTCTTTAGCTGGACAGAGCGGAGACACATAGATTAGTTCCTCATTTTCAATCACGTTTATCCCTCCATCAATCTCTTGCGTCCACATCCACTGTGTCTACATGCTGGTTTACATGCCTACTTATCATCTTATGCTGCAACAGATTAGTGGTTGCATGCTGCTAATATCCCCGCCAAAGACTCTGCTGTTTATTTGCATATATATATATATATATATATATATATATATATACATATTTCTGTGAGTGTATAATTATTTTTATCAGTTAAATTTAGTTCATATCTTAGTAAGACACAATCTTTTCTCATAAATGTTGTAAATATTGTTTTTTTATAGTTTCTCCTCACCCCCAGTAGGATGTCGCACCTTATACTGATCGTATATGAGGTGATTGGTGAATATGTGCCACACAAATTAAATTCGATTGATAGATTGATTGAGTGGTGATGGGATGGCTCTCGCATGACAGTCAGATTTACATTACAACGCTGTCACCAAATTCATCCTCACAGACTAGCTAGCATGTTGTGCTCAGAACCATAGAAGGTTTGAGCATCTGAGTCTCTATTACATCTGAACAAACTCCATCTGCTGATGAAAACCACATGATACCGCTGACAGCCCCTTGCAGAACAAATGAGTAAGAGGACTTTGAGTTACTGTCAGTTATTACATTAATAACCCAACCCACTTTAAATTGGATTTAAAATCCAAAAGGAATCCGACCTTCAGCCCTGAAAAGGGAGGTGAGCATCAAAAAACGTGCTGTTCCAACTCATCCATTTTAAAGGGGAAGTTGGAGCATAAGGTTTAAGGGTAGCAGGCCTTCAATAATCCCTCCCTCAGCTGTCTGTGTATTATTGCATAATAGAGCAAGATTGGAATTATAGGGATTCTTATGGGCAATAATCCCTCTGCATGAGTTTATCCCCTCTGTCTGGCAGAGGCCTGATGTTTAAAAAATGTTTAAATTTGATGGTGGGTTTTATTAGTCACCACACAGATGGATGCTTGGGAATCACGGCTAAGATGCTGTTCAGCCCCAAAAGCTGAATGATCCAACCAATCCTGAAAGTGAAACAAAACTAGGGCAAGAAATGACATGGAAAACGCTTGATTGCTAAATGATCGGAATCAATGAATGTAGTTCTTCCTCCTCGTAAACAGGGGGAAAGGGAGTCACAGGGGAGTGGTATCATTAATCCAGATGATCTTGTCCTATATACTGTATCACTAATCAAATCCCTTCATCGCCTTATCATGCGCGAGGAACCATGACTGAACATCAGCTGTTGTTCTGCAGTCTGTCCTTGGAGGAACTGGATTGAATAGATGGATGCTTACAAGGTTGGTTTATGCTAAATTGGGTAATTTTGTGCTGGGAAAAGGTTTAATGTGGTTTTACCCTTCCTGTCAATATTCTGTAAAAATAATGTAGGAAAACCTTCCCATTAAAAAGATTGAAAACAAGGGGAAATTCTGAAGAGAATCCAACCTCATTGTTACCTGAAGTTACTGTAGGGGTGGATGATCCACACTCCGAAGCTCTTGACCCTGGCCTGTTCTGCAGCAACACCCTTGTGGCTGCCAAACATGCGCAGGGAAAACTTGTTGACCCCAGGCTGCAGCAAGGAGCCAAACTGCTTCTGGAAGTAGGTGGACTGGTCCAGCGGGATGTCCTCGCTGGCTCCTTCGCCCTCCCCGTTGGTGTCCAGCAGGCCATCGGGGTCAGCGGTGTAGTCGTCATTGTGTGTCTTGACCAGGGTGAAGAGCGTGTTGGTCACATCGCCCTTCTTCTCCACCTTTGGAGAAGGGGTGCCAGGGGGGGTGGTCCTCTGGGAGCCACTTCTCCATCTTGAAAAGCGAAGGCTGCTCCAGCTGCGGTACCTGGACGTCTCTGGCTTGTGAGCCGGGCTCTCATAGATGTGTCTGTGGTCGTCGATACTCCTGGAGGGGCTGGTCATTGTGACGCCTTGCAATTTAGACTGCTCACAGCAAAGAGGATTCTAATGTCCCTGTGATTTGGCTTTTGGGGCCTGATTAAAAAGTTCACCAACTAAAAAAGGTAACTTGCAGATGCCATTTTCCATTTAAAGTCTGCTCCTAAATGTAACTTCCTTTACAGAGTTTTATAGCCAACCATATTTAGAAACATCAAATTTTACAAGATGAACTTAACAACAGAGCAGCCAAACTTAAAAATGAAATATCTTCAAGCGACACCACATAAACTTAAAATACCATTACATCACTCTTAACTCTTACAAGCATAAATCAAATATAATATATAGCATCATTTCCTGACTCCAGTTCTTACAATACAAATCCATGAAAAGTTGCAGCGTCCATTAAAAAAGTACTTTCCTGAGATGAATGGAGGGAAAAGAGAAACTTCTGCAGCCTCAGATGCTCAGTGTGTGTGTTTGAGTGTGAATGTGTGTGTGTATGACTGTGTGTGTGTCCTTAGTAGCCTTCAATAATCGGCTTGTTGGCATTACTCACCTCCCTCCTCCCTCTTTCCCTCCCTGCTGAGAAAGTAGTCCCTCCCTCCCTCTCTCTCTCTCTCTCTCTGTGGGATGCAGTGGTGATGCGGCTGCAGGTCAAGTTGCACAATCATGTTAACGAGCATCCAGGTCAGAGTATCATCATTTCCTCATGACTCATCAATATTCTGAAGGAGAACCCCTTCATCTCCACCTGGTGCAGGTTAAATATCAATATTTGATAAAGTTGATCTTCCTGAAATATAAATCAATCCTACAAATATCAGAACCCCTTGAAATTAGTTTAAGGAAGCAGCAGGTGTTTTTAAGATCGATACGAGGCAAAAGAACAAGA